CCTTCCTTCCTTCCTTCCTTCCTTCCTTCCTTCCTTCCTTCCTTCTTCTTCCTTCTTTCCTTCCTTTTCTTGAGCCCAGAAAAGAGCATTTTCCTCACCACCATCTCACATATGCTGTCCTTGACTCCAGGAAATTATACTCTGGCTCTTGCTAAAAATGCTCAAATTCTTTGATATAGTTTCTGCCTAAATGGCTCTTCCTGAGGTTAGAATCAACCTATTGATGCAGTAAAGACGACGTTGACAGTGGTGATGACACTGATGATGAACTTTGTCATCGTAATAGTCCTCTGTGCAGCCGTTTATATTTTTCTAAGTTCTTTTATGTCCATTATTTTAATTGTTCTCCTAAATTTGCTGTGATGGGATCAAGACAGGTCTTAACATTTTGATGAAAATGTTAGGAAATTGAGCATCAAATGACCTGTCCAAGGTCACACGATGGCCACAGAGTTAAGATTAAAAAGTGGCTCTTTTGCCTGTGTATTCTCCTTGAGTCTACATGGAGATTATTTCAAATAAGTCCACGCTCTCTGGGACCACCACAGACAATGTTGCCCTCCTGTGGCCAGGTCATGACAGGATGGAAGTCTCTGCCCTAGAACAACACAGAGAATTGTACTGCAAATTCTGGAATACATGTTTTCCCAAGAAAAGATTATTCAAAGAGAAAACTGCAGGGGGCAGGGGTTGCTCTGAATTGAAGCATTTCAGTTTAGAACAATCTGGTGGTGTTACTGACTGGAGTATAAGTGTGACCCAAATGGAGGGATGTGCCTGTCACAGAAAGTCAGTCCAACTCAGGTTACATTAGCCAAGATGCAGCACAGCGGTTTTCCTGAATGGGTCAGGCTGCAGGGGGCACGGTGTCCCACCAAGGAAGAGGTTTTTAGGCAGATAGTAACAAATAACAAAGTGTCCAGGGACGAGTCAGAAAGGCTATTGATGGAGACGCTAAGCTGATCACGGCATAGACAAAATACTAACAGGACTGAGGGAAGCCTGGGAAAAGGCTGGCGGGGAGCCTCGCAGACCTGAAGGATGGTGCTATGTGTCCATCTCTGAGAAGGCAACAGTGGGAGACTCGAGAATGGAGGCAGATTTCTTCTCGAAAAGGAAAATTCTACTAATCTAATTCTAACCTCCAAAAAAATCAACCACATGGGACCAGGTATCGTGAGGGAGCACCAGGCAGTGTGCTGATGGGGACAGCAGGAGGGCCCTGTTCAGGCAGGGGGACAAAGGAAATGAGCAGAATGCACCTCCTGGTTTTAAAATTAGGAACCGGATTCTATCATGACAGCTTATTTTATCAAAGCATGAGAAAGCAGGCTTTCTCACGCTGCTTTAGGAAAGACCAAACTATTTCTCATCTGCCTTGTTCATAGCTATCCTTTTTGCTCATTCGCCGCAGTCCCTATATTTCCTGGTATTCCAGTCGCCTGTTTTGTCATTGAGTTCTTGGGATGTCTCTCACATAAGGTTTAGCAGACAGGGGGATGGTTCCCATGTGCCCTGAGTCCAGTCCTACTAAGTGTCAGAGGAGGGTATTTGGGGGGAAATGGGGTTTCCAGAAGTTCAGCGTCATCAGACAAGGTCTACTCAGGAGGCTCTTTGGGGGCAGGGTTAAGCAGTTAAGCGGGTGTATTGAGACGCATGCCCCCAGCTGGCTGGGGCGCCTGGGGAGGTTCAGTTTTGTCATCTGTCAAATGGGATGAGATTAGTCCAGCTTTCTGGAACCCTGTGAGTCATGAAGATCCAATGGGCTAAGCAGGAGCAATTAGACAGAAAAGCCTGCAGCGCCGCGGGACGGGGTGGGCTGTGGAGAAAGGGCGAGCGGCTCCCGCGCCTGTTTCTCCCGCAGACGCCACACCTGCTGTTGGCCACAGCGCTCACCATCATCCCCCCGTTTCCCCGATGGGCGAGCCCAGAAGTAGGGGACCCTGTGCGTGATCACACCAGCAATCGGAGGCTGTGTGACTCGGCCGTGGGCTCCAGACCCCATGACGCTGGGACACTCCCCGGGTCCCCTTACCTGGCAGGGCGCTGCGGGGCGCGGTGCCTGGCGGCTGTGGGAAGCTGTGCCGGCGGGAGCTGGGGGCGCGCAGGCGGCGCGGCAGCGGGAAGCCGGGCTGGTAAGCTGGACCGGGTCGCCTGGGAGGCCGAGTGTTCCAGGGCACGGCTGCAGGGGAAGAAGAAGAAAGCGGGTACAGAGCGCGCCCAGCGCCCCACGCTGGCTGGGACACGTCCTCGGAGTGGGCGGCGAAACTGCTGCAAACGGGACCCGGAGACTCAGAGGGCGGGCGTGCCGTCCCCTTAAGGGGACGCTTCCTGTCGGAGCCTGTCTTTGTCTTGCTCCCTCCCGTTTCCTTTTGACGTGTTTCAATAAGCGCTAGTTGGCTCAAAAGGCTATGAAGGCAGCGACGGACTCCCAGGTTCAGAAAAGCCACCTGGGACACAGAAAAGGTCTTGCGGGGCGACAGCCCCTCTTCTCAGGGCTGGAGAGTTTTCAGTCTTGTTTGGCAAACTTGCTTCTTCACAGTAGAACTTGGTCTCCGAGGCCCTCAAAGCTTTCTAGACCTACCATAGACCCTTCCTCCAAGTGAGACCTGAGCAGGTGCGTTTAGGAAGGTACAATTCAAAATGCGCTTGGAATTCTGTGACTTCAGCACCACCGTGTTCATGACGTTATACTCTGTCAACTTCAGAAAATGTCTTAATTTGGTAAAAATAGTTTAAACAAAGGCCATTTTCTTCCGGAACTGAGCAAAATATTTTGTTTTACAGGGTAACTGGGGTGCAACCATATTCTCAAAGAATTATTATGGTAGTTGAGGAAATATATATGCTATACAATGGATAAACAGGTGAGTAAAGAAGGAGTTTATAATGGATGGAAAGCTTGGATTGGTGAAAATTCTTAGGGGGCACACAAGGAAGTTGGGGTTTTGATTTGGCCACGTTTTTTGCCATCAGGACTCAACCTACTTAGCTCACAGTAGATTATTTTTCTCTTCAAACCAAAGAAAGTGAATGACAATTATTTTTCATACCTCATGAGGCTGTTTTCATCATAATACATTAATAAGTGTTTGTCACCCCAACCCTGGCCCCTCCCTGAGCTCCTCGGGTCACCAGAGGAACCTCTCCCTGGCTCTGAGCCCCTGTGTTGACCCAGCATAGCTGCTGAGGATGCTAAAAACGGGAATTAAGAATGGTCTGTTTGCAAATGGTAAGAGTTCATTCTTCTTTGTGGTAGAGTAATACTCCATTGTATAAATGTACCACAGTTTCTTAATCCAGTCGTCTACTGATGGGCATTTCGGTTGTTTCCAAGTCTTGGCTATTTATTGTGAGTAGCGCTGCAATAAACATACGGGTGCGTAAATTTTTTCAAATTAGCGCTTTGGGTTTCTCTGGACAGATACCTAAGAGTGGAATTGCCGGGTCACACGGTGTCACGTCCTGCGTGGCAAGGGCAAATGGGACACGAGTGGGGCGACGCAGATTGAATAAGAACAAGAGACAAAAGTCAGATAAGAGCAAGACCAAGGGACGCGGCCTGGAAGACTGAGCCCCGAATTGGGTCAACGCATGGCTTTTATTGAAATCCTACAAAGAAATGAAACTGTTATTTTTCAAAGATCTGTTGCTATGTGCCTTAAGGCTGTTTTCCATTAACCAGCTCCTACTGTATTCCAACAAATGCTATGCTTTCATACATCACTACACAGCCCCCAGGACACTTTGTTACTGTGTCCTTTCATATAGGGGAGGTGACTGATATCATTCTATCGGGTCCCAGGACTGCCGGGACACTCCCTGAGAGAGCTTTACCAATATCATTCCATGGGCCTCAGGCATGCTGAGACACTCTCTCATGACCGATGGGGTCAGGGGCTAACGCAGCAGGGGCGGTCCTGGAGGTAGCTGTAAGGCAACAACACGGTACCTCCATTTCCAGTTTTTTGAGATACCTCCATACTGATTTCCACAGTGGCTGCACCAATCTGCAATCTCACCAGCAGTGTACCAGGGTTTCCTTTTCCTCACAACCTTGCCAGCACTTGTTGTTTGTTGATTTATTGATGATAGCCATTCTGACCAGAGTGAGGTGGTATCTCATTGTGGTTTTTATTTGCATTTCTCTAAT